TGCGACATTTTATCAAACCGAGAGTAGCTTGGAGCTATTAGCAATTGGATTGCTTACCTTAAGATATTTAATGGTTAAGACAAGCCAAAGCATGCTTAACCATTTCTTGATCTTTGGGATCTCGGAATCATTTTATTCTCGCCCATAAGGGATAATCTTAAATGCGTGGATAAAATGTTCAATAAGTGTGAATAAGTGCATGAACGCTTTAAATTTCAACTTATTGATGTATGAATGGTTTTCATTTCAAATTCTTTAAATTGTAGAACAATGTCTGCAAGTAACTCAAACAACAACCATATGTGCCCGAAACTCCCCGAAAAGTTGGCCTTTCCCTTAAACTTGGTCAACTTTAAGGAATGGGAAGAGGAACTCAGAAGAACTCTCCGAAATTGCTCCTTGGAGTATACTCTTGATACTCCCATTCCAAGATTCTTTTCTAAAGGGATCATGACCGACGAGGCTCATGAAGAATGGTCTTCCAATTGCAAAAGGGTCTCACGACTCATAGCAAATTCCATCCCGGAAGACTGGAAGGAAACTCTTTCCTCCTACCTTTCGAACATGTTCCTCAAAGCACTTGAGGACGTTGTCAATGTAAGAGTCACCAAGAGTGACAATGGCAACTATGATGGACTCGTGTTTGACTTGACTAGGTCACTTTCAAACATGAGAATTAAGCCACCAAATGTTGGGTGTCTTGCTAAGGAAAGGCGACGACTTTGGACCAAGGTCTACAATGCTAAATTGAGACCAGGCATGCCCTCCGACCTCATGTGCTTGGTATGACTAGGCTCTTCAAGCACATGCAGCTTCTCGGAATTCCATTGGAAGATGAGATGGCGGGGCATATCTTGCTTGCTTCACTCCACTCGGGCTATGATGCACTTAGAGTGCATATCGCTGCGGGAAAGGAGACACACTCCCTCAAGGAGGTGGTGCAACTACTCAGCCAAGCCACTGCCTATGGAATGACCAAAAGGCCCTTGAGAGCTAAGAAGAAGGAGTTCAAGAAGGTCAAAGCAAAGATGAGATGCTTCCATTGTGGCATGCAAGGCCATTACAAGAGGGAATGCATGCTCATCAAGGAAGAGGGGATCACTCCAACCACCTCAGGTATCTTCCTTAACACTTGTGGATTAAGCTTATCATAAGGTATTGGATACCAAGTATGACTCACTTAATGTTGCCTTTTCAGGGACCAAGTGAGAAGCTTATCAAGTGTTGGTGCATGAAGACGACAAAGATGGTTTTTCGATCGTGCTTGCATGCACTATTTTGTCTATGACATGTAATTAAAACTATTTCTAGTTTTATCATGCTTTGAACATATTATCCATGGTGTTGGACACCTAGGAATTTCAAATGTAAAACTTTTAACAATAGTTGTTTCAAGTTTACAAATTTATGTTCAATTAAATTGCATGATTTACATATGACAAAAGTTGATACCACTAAGCTAAGACCATCGAGTCGAATCAAACCTACTTGTGGCATTGTTGTCTTGGCCACATTAACATCAAACGCATCAAGAAACTTCTTCAAGAAGGTGTTCTTGACTTGTTTGACTTAGAGTCATTTGAAAATTGCGAAGGATGCTTATTAGGCAAGATGATCAAACATCCATTCTCCAAGTTGGGAGAAAGGGCAAGTGACTTATTAGGTCTAATACACACGGATGTATGTGGATCTATGAGCACACCCGCAAGGCAAGGTTACCGATATTTCATCACCTTCACCGACGATTATAGTAGATATGGCTATATCTACTTAATGTCAAATAAATCTTAATCCTTTGAAAAGTTCAAAGAATTTCAGAAAGAGGTTGAAAATCAACTTGGCAAGAAAATTAAAGCACTTCGATCAGATCGAGGTGGCGAATATTTGAGCCATGAATTCGACGATCACTTGAAAGAATGTGGCATTCTTTCAGAGTTGACACCTCCTGGAACTCCTCAATAGAACGGAGTGTCCGAACGGAGGAATCGGACCTTGTTAGACATGGTTCGGTCATTGATGGGTCTTAGTGAACTCCCTATCTCGTTATGGGGACATGCACTACAAACAGCAGCACTAACACTGAATAGAGCTCCGTCAAAAGCCGTTGAAAAGACTCCATATGAATTATGGACTAAGAAACCTCCCAGGTTGTCTTTTCTCAAGATTTGGGGATACGAAGCATATGTCAAGCGATTAATTTCGGACAAACTTCACCCCAAATCGGATAAGTGTTTCTTTGTGGGATATCCAAAAGAAACCAAAGGGTATTACTTCTACAATAAATCCGAGAACAAAGTATTTGTTGCTCGTGATGGTGTCTTTTTGGAGAAGGATCACCTTTCCAAAATGACAAGTGGGAGGAAAATAAAACTCGACAAAGTTCGAGAGGACGAGCAAAAATGTCAACCTGACAAAACTAACAATCTAGATACTTTGGAAGCATCTGAGAAGATTGGTCAGAGTCAAACAGACAATATAAATGCTCAACTGATTACCCTACGTAGGTCGCAACGACAAAGATCTCAACCAGACAGATACCTCGGTATTGTCTTAACTGATGATCAGGACATCCTAGTTATGGATGGTGATGAGCCGGCGATATACAAGCAAGATATGACGAGCCCCGACTCTGCAAAATGGCAAGAGGCCATGAAATCCGAGATGGACTCCATGTCTGAAAATCAAGTCAAAATCAAGTTTGGGACTTGGTGAATTTTCCCGAGGGTTATACACCCATTGGTTGCAAATGGATCTTCAAAGTGAAGACAGACAAAGATGGAAATGTATCGATATACAAAGCTAGAATGGTGGCAAAAGGTTGATAAGCCTTCTTATCATGGGTTGAGAGAAGCATTTTAGGGTGTGTTTTGATGCTTTATATGTACTTTTGTTAGCTTTTGTGAGTTTTGGGCTGTGATCTCACTTATGTGCAAAAGGCGGGATTTATGAGTATAAGTGAGTGAGTGAGCTCGGGAACCAATGAAGAGTTATGTAAGAAGGATGGACCTTGGCTCGTGATTTGAGAGTTGTGATGGAGCATGGAAGAGCAAGGAAGAAAGCTTGAGGAAAAGGTGAAGCAAAGCAAGAAGAAGAAGCAAGGAAAGAAGGCGAAAACAGCAGGAACCGCTGCCAGGGCCGCTGGCAGCTGGCCAGAGCCGCTGGCAGCGGGTATACCAGAGTGAGGGGCTGCCAGAGCAGCTGCCAGCGGGTCCAGAGCAGCTGGCAGCGGCTCTGGCAGAAATTCGGGCTGTTTTGGTTAATTTTCAGCAATTTGGCTTTGTTTTGGCTCGTGTTTTGGATATTATTTTATTATTATTATTGTGTTCTGTTATTAAAATATAGAAACATATAAATAGCTTAGTTTTAATTAAGTTTTAGTGAGAAAAGGAGAATTAAGTTTTGAGAAAAAAAAGCTTTCTAGGGTTTTCTTGGAATTTTCAGAATTCTTTGTTTTGGAATTAGAATCCATGGAAGCTTAATCTTCCGGATTCTTGGTTAAAGATTGAAGCTTTTAGCTACGAATTGTGAGATCTTTCTTCTCTTAATATCTATTGAATATATATTGTTCCTTGAATTAATTTCATGATTTGCTTTAATCAATTGCTAGGTTAGAATTATTGGATTCGCTTGCATCTAATTAATCTTTCCAAAGTAGCAACTTTAGGTTATTGATGCATGCTTTTGGTTGATAACTTGAAGAGGGAATAATATTATTGAAGAAATTAGACCGCTTGTGTTAATTTATTCAATCCTTGTTGATTTCTCCGTTTATTTTCTTCTTGTGGATAATTTAGAGCGCTTGTCTTGAATTGTGCATTGGAAAGGGTTAGAAAGGAGCGCTTTGCTATTTCTAACTATTTATGAGAATTTAGAATCTAGGATTTCTACAACAAGGTGTTCAATAGAGCTTGATTGAGGAGACTTCTATGATCAATTTGTATGTTCATTAGTGGATTTCGCATAACCAAGACCGTTCTTCTCATTGATTACCTATTCATTACGTTCGTTGTTCTTACTTAGTTCATTTATCATCATTGCTCGTGAAAACCCCCCTCGTTACTTAGGTTACTACCGTCCTAGAGTATTTCCACTTAGGTTTCCAGTTATTAGTCCCTTTTTCCCTGTGGATTCGAACTCGACTTCCCTAACTACGTTTATTTGCAGTTAGCTTAGTTGTGATATTTTTGGTTGCATACGACTGAGGCACACCAAATTTTGGCGCCGTTGCCGGGGAATTAAGGCGTTACTTTTTTATTGTTTATCTTAGTAGAATTTATTTTAGGACTGTTCTTAGCTATCTTTCTTTGTTTGTTCGCTAGGGTATGATAAGTACCCGTTCTGCTAACAAAGAAGTTTTGTAGTTTGATCCAGAAATTGAAAGGAATATTTCCAGGTTGTGAAAAGAGGCAAAAACAACCCCTAGTGAATCAACGTACTTCTTCAATATTCAAGAAGAAGAGGAGATGGCTGACAATCGAACTCTAAGAGAACTTACAGCCCCTAACTTGAACCAACAACCGTTGTGCATTGCATACCAGCAGTTGGAGGAAGGTACTAATGTTGAGATCAAATCCGGTCTAATTCATCTATTGCCGGCATTCCATGGCATGAAAGGCGAAGATCCGAATAAACATCTGGCAGAATTTCATGTGGTTTGCACTAGCATGAAACCGATTGGGATGACTGATGAACAAATTCAGTTGAGAGCATTTCCTTTTTCTCTCAAAGATGCAGCAAAGGATTGGTTTTACTATCTTCCCCCAGGTAGCATAACAACTTGGGCAGATTTAAAGAAGTGTTTCCTTGAGAAGTACTACCCAGCCACTATTTCTGCAAGCCTTAAGAAAGCTATCAGCAATGTGGATCAGAAGGAAGATGAATCCTTGTATGAGTATTGGGAGAGATTTAAGAGATTGTGTGCTAGCTGTCCTTACCATGGGTATTCCGATCAAGACCTCATCCTATACTTCTATGGAGGTCTAATTGATGATGACTTGAGGATGGTGAATGCAGCAAGTGGTGGAGGGCTAGTGAATAAGACTCCAGGAGATGCAACTAGGTTGATTGCAGAGCTAGCAGAAAATTCTAGGCAATTCAGTCAGAGAACTCCCACGCGCCGGGTGAATGCAGCAAATTCAAATACAACTGAGTTAGAGAGTCAAGTAGCTGATTTGACTTCTATGATGCGTGAGTTCATGGTGAACTCAAGGAATCCACAGCAACTGAATGCTTGTGGTTTATGCACCTCCACAGGACATCCCACTGATGCATGTCCTCAATTACAAGAGGAACAGAATGAGCAGGCCAATGCAATGGGTTTCCAAGGGCAAGGTCCTCAGAGAAGATATGATCCATATTCGAATACATACAATCCAGGATGGAGGGATCATCCAAATTTGAGATATGGGAATTCCCAGGGGAACCAACAACAACAGCAAAATGCTCAAGGCCAGCAGCAATATCAGCAATATAGGGCACCATTGGCCAAACCTCAAGGCCAAAGCTCAAATTCGAATGATATGTCAACTGATGAAATGATTAGATCACTAACTTCTAATGTTTCTACTATGCAGCAAAACATGGTGCAATTCCAGCAAGAGACCAAATCCAGTATTCAGAATTTGGAAAGTCAAGTGAGTCAAATTTCAACTGCAGTGAGCAGACTTGAAGCTAAGGATTCGGGAAAACTTCCATCTCAAACGGAGTTGAATCCTAAGCAACAAGCCAACGCTATTACATTGAGAAATGGCAAAAAGTTGCAAGAAACTGTAGTTGCACCTAAGAAGGCTAAAGACTTGATTGGAGTTGAGGAGGAGGAAGTAGAACAAGAAACTAAGGCGAATCCTCCAACCTTTACCTCTTATGAGCCTGTGCCACCTTTCCCAGAAGCCTTGCAAGATACTCAAAGGTATGAGAAAGACAAGGATATTTATGAGACTTTCAGCAAATGTGAGGTAAATATGCCCCTCTTGAATGTGATTAAAAGTGTTCCTCGTTTTGCTAAGTTTATGAAGGAACTGTGTACGATCAAGAGAAAGCACAGGTTGGGAGGAAAAGAAAAAGTGAAGGTGAGTGCTCATGTTTCTGCAGTTTTCCAAAAGAAACTCCCAGAAAAATGTGGTGATCCTGGTATGTTTACTATTCCTGTTACAATAGGAGACACCACATTACACCGAGCCATGTTGGACCTAGGTGCATCAATCAATGTCATTCCCTACTCCCTGTTTAAATCTTTAGAACTTGGGCCTTTGCATGAAACTGGGGTAGTAATTCAGTTAGCTGATAGGTCCAATGTATATCCTAAGGGGGTAGTAGAAGATGTACTTGTTAAGGTTGATGGATTGATCTTTCCTGCTGACTTTTACGTCCTTGACATGGAACATGACAAACAAGCAGCCCCTATCCTGTTAGGAAGACCTTTCTTAAAGACTGCTAAGACAAAAATCGATGTGTCTACCGGTTCTTTGACTATGGAGGTTGATGGGAAAGCAATTGTGTATAACATTTATGATACCATAAAGTATCCCGTTGATACTCATTCTTTATATTCTATAAATGTTGTCGATCCAATATTGCATGATGTTTCTAACATTGATCATGGGGATGAGCTCCTCACACCTATTACTAATGTTGTGTCTGGTGATTGCTTGGATTCTTCTATACCTACTAATGTGCAGGTGAAGGTGGCGGAATTGAATGAACAGTCCAAGCTTCCACCTATACCACTAGGGGCAACACCCACCCCGTCATCATTTCCGGGCAAGAAATTATCCCAGGTATACCACAAAGCAAAGAATAAGGTGTGGCATGACAAGATGAGCTCCCGTTGGAAGGGTCCAATTCAAGTTGACAAGGTCTATCCGCATGGAGCGGTAGAAATTCGGAGTTTAGAGACCAACAACATGTTCAAAGTGAATGGAAAAAGGCTCAAACCCTACTTCGAGGGTTTCAAAACCGAGAACGTGGAGTGCATCGATCTCTACGAGCCATCAATGGAGTAGCGAAGTGGGATGAGCCGCGTCGAGCCAACGACGTAAAACAAAGGCGCTAATCGGGAGGCAACCCGATCGAAAATCTTCCCCATTTCTTCTTGTAGTTTAGTTTTTTATTTTTCTTGTGATGTGAAGAGTATTTTTATTGTGTTTGTGTAGGTGGATGCCTTGGGAGTATTTGTTATGCGCGAAGAGCAGCAAAAACAGAGCAAAACAGGCCAAAGGGGGGCTATCCCTGCAGTAGTCGCTGGCAGCTGCTCTGCAGCCGCTACCAGCGGGTCTTCCAGCAGCCCAACCTCCCCTTTTGCTGTCCCAGCCGCTGGTAGCTGCTCAAAAGCCGCTGCCAGCGGGTACCCCCCTCCACGTTTATTTTTTCTAAAAAAAAAAAACAAAAAAAAAAAAAAAAAAAAAAAAAAAAAAAATTTACGTAGTATAGCCGCTGCCAGCGGGTCTTCCAGCAAAGAAGATCCAAAAGCTCTGCTTTAGCCGCTGGCAGCGGGTCCCAAGCCGCTACCAGCGGCCTTTCCAGCCTTTCCTGAATTTTTCACCCTTTTTGACCCATTTCTTGATTTCTAAAATCCAATTCATCCTTCTTCTCTTTCCCTTAGCAATCCCACACTCATACTCCCAAACCCTAACCCAATCTTTCCTACACACAATCCCTTTCCCTCACTTTCAAAGACAATTCAACCTAAAATTGTTTCAATTTCTCAATTTCACACTTGGCATTTGAGGAATTGTGAGAACCTTGGTGTTTGGAGGTTTGGTGGTGTGTTCATTGTGCTTTGAAGAATAAAGTGTGAGTTGTGCAATTCATTCTTAAGCAATGGGAAGAGACAACAAGGTGATACTTCAAAAGAGGGTGAATCACCCTCTTTTCCCCAAGCAAGTGACTTCATGGGAATTAGGCTCACTACAAAGGAGCAAGCTATTTGAACTCCAACAACCCAAGAGTATAGTGCAATGCACAAAGTTCTTCGATTTGGAGGCATTGCAAGAGGTTGGTTTGGAGGAGGTGATGGAGCACGAGCGCACCTACTTATGTGAGGTATACATGAATTCCTTTCCACTTTGACTAAGGGATGTCAAGAATTTCTTTCAATTTTAACAATAAGAACTATATCATGCCTTATGCGGTAATTAAAAATGCTTTTGGTTGGAATGATCTTCCCATGGGCAACACTTGGGGTCCCCATAGTTCATTTTTTCTTCTCGAAATTTTTGAAATCCTTGATAATGCCTAATCTTCCGGCTCCGGAGGTCCTTCTCCTTGAGGTTTTGCATCCTTCTTCCTTTCCCATACTTTTGTTTTAATTGTTGTTGTTCTTGCATTGAGGACAATGTTTCATTCAAGTAGGGGGGGAAGCAATTCTTGCATATCATTACAAATTGTATAGTTATCTTAATTTGATGGTTTTGTATAGCTATTTCAATTGTGTTTCAATGAAAAAAAATGAAAAATGAAAAGAAAAAAAAGGAAAAAAGAAAAAAAAAGAAAAAGAAACCCGCTAAGTTGAAAACCTGTAAAGGCGGCTTAGGCAAAAATGGGGGCCCGGTTAGGTTGAAAACCCGAAAGGGCGACCTAAGCAAAAAAGAGGCTAATGAGCGGGTGATATAGTGAGATTTGAAAAAAAGAAGAGAGGCTAGGATGAAAACCCGAAAGGGCTCCTAGGCAAAATGAGAGAAAAAAGAGAGAAATGTTCATGAATTTGATTTTTCAAGGAAATTTCGCATCTATTTGCCGGAGTCGGTGTCATAAGGGGAGGAGATATAAGGAGGTGTCGGGGTAGGTTTCATCTTGGTGATTTTGGGAGATAGTTGAGATTTTGGGGGAATTTGTTGATCATCTTAGGAATTTGAGAGCATGAGTTGTTTGTTTTCACTCTTGAATGTGGAAGTGTTTTTATGAGATTTTTGGTTAAGTTGAGTTTTTGTTTGCCCAATTTTATCAAAAATTTCATTTCTTTAGGCGGTTGAGAATATTCATACTCATGGCTATGCGTTTATCGTTCCAAGTTGATTTTGGGGATGAATTGATAAATAAGAAAAAAGGGAGATTCAAAGTGTGAAGTATGGGGGAGTGTGATTGTGATTGGTTGATAAGTACTAGGATGTTTTGTTGAGTTTGAGTGCATAGAGCTAGTTTGATTCCACCATCTTCTGTTTTGAACCTTAGTGAGGAGGATGTGTTTTATTCTCTAAGTTTACTCGAGGGCGAGTAAAGGTTCAAGCATGGGGGAATTTGATAAGCCTTCTTATCATGGGTTGAGAGAAGCATTTTAGGGTGTGTTTTGATGCTTTATATGTACTTTTGTTAGCTTTTGTGAGTTTTGGGCTGTGATCTCACTTATGTGCAAAAGGCGGGATTTATGAGTATAAGTGAGTGAGTGAGCTCGGGAACCAATGAAGAGTTATGTAAGAAGGATGGACCTTGGCTCGTGATTTGAGAGTTGTGATGGAGCATGGAAGAGCAAGGAAGAAAGCTTGAGGAAAAGGTGAAGCAAAGCAAGAAGAAGAAGCAAGGAAAGAAGGCGAAAACAGCAGGAACCGCTGCCAGGGCCGCTGGCAGCTGGCCAGAGCCGCTGGCAGCGGGTATACCAGAGTGAGGGGCTGCCAGAGCAGCTGCCAGCGGGTCCAGAGCAGCTGGCAGCGGCTCTGGCAGAAATTCGGGCTGTTTTGGTTAATTTTCAGCAATTTGGCTTTGTTTTGGCTCGTGTTTTGGATATTATTTTATTATTATTATTGTGTTCTGTTATTAAAATATAGAAACATATAAATAGCTTAGTTTTAATTAAGTTTTAGTGAGAAAAGGAGAATTAAGTTTTGAGAAAAAAAAGCTTTCTAGGGTTTTCTTGGAATTTTCAGAATTCTTTGTTTTGGAATTAGAATCCATGGAAGCTTAATCTTCCGGATTCTTGGTTAAAGATTGAAGCTTTTAGCTACGAATTGTGAGATCTTTCTTCTCTTAATATCTATTGAATATATATTGTTCCTTGAATTAATTTCATGATTTGCTTTAATCAATTGCTAGGTTAGAATTATTGGATTCGCTTGCATCTAATTAATCTTTCCAAAGTAGCAACTTTAGGTTATTGATGCATGCTTTTGGTTGATAACTTGAAGAGGGAATAATATTATTGAAGAAATTAGACCGCTTGTGTTAATTTATTCAATCCTTGTTGATTTCTCCGTTTATTTTCTTCTTGTGGATAATTTAGAGCGCTTGTCTTGAATTGTGCATTGGAAAGGGTTAGAAAGGAGCGCTTTGCTATTTCTAACTATTTATGAGAATTTAGAATCTAGGAATTCTACAACAAGGTGTTCAATAGAGCTTGATTGAGGAGACTTCTATGATCAATTTGTATGTTCATTAGTGGATTTCGCATAACCAAGACCGTTCTTCTCATTGATTACCTATTCATTACGTTCGTTGTTCTTACTTAGTTCATTTATCATCATTGCTCGTGAAAACCCCCCTCGTTACTTAGGTTACTACCGTCCTAGAGTATTTCCACTTAGGTTTCCAGTTATTAGTCCCTTTTTCCCTGTGGATTCGAACTCGACTTCCCTAACTACGTTTATTTGCAGTTAGCTTAGTTGTGATATTTTTGGTTGCATACGACTGAGGCACACCAAAGGTTATAGACAAGTCCACGGGATTGACTATGATGAAACTTTTTCACCAGTTGCAATGCTAAAGTCCGTCCGGATCATCCTAGCGATTGCTGCATATTACGATTACGAAATATGGAAAATGGATGTCAAAACCGCCTTCCTTAATGGGATTTTGGAAGAAACTGTGTATATGACACAGCCAGAGGGTTTTGTCGATCCAGGCAATGCTGGAAAGGTTTGCAAGCTGAAGAAGTCCATTAATGGACTAAAGCAAGCCAACAAGAGTTGGAATCTGCGATTTGATGAAGCCATCAGCAAGTTTGGTTTTATCAAGAATCCAGATGAGTCTTGTGTATACAAGAAGGTCAGTGGGAGTGATATTGCATTCCTGGTCCTGTATGTAGATGACATACTGCTCATTGGAAACAACACAAAATTGTTGGAGTCCGAAAAGGGCTGGTTGGGAAAGTGCTTTTCAATGAAGGACTTAGGAGAGGCACAGTACATATTGGGCATCAAGATCTACAGGGATAGATCTAAGAGGATGATTGGATTAAGCCAAAGTACTTATATTGATAAGGTACTGGCTTGATTCAACATGGAAAATGCCAAAAGAGGGCATTTACCCATGTCCCATGGCATAACTCTCAGCAAGAAACAGTGTCCGCAGACACCTGTTGAGCGAGAAAGAATGAATCAGATCCCATATGCTTCGCTAATCGGATCGATCGTGTATGCCATGATATGTACAAGGCCAGATGTATCGTATGCCCTGAGTGCAACGAGTCGATACCAATCGAACCCAGGAGAGGCGCATTGGACTGCGGCCAAGAACATCCTTAAGTACCCGAAAAGGAACAAGGATAAATTCCTGGTGTATAGAGGCCACAAATAACTGGTTGTTGAAGGTTACACCGACGCTAGCTTCCAGACTGACAGAGACGACTTCAAGTCATAGTCGGGATATGTATTCTGTCTGAATGGAGGAGCGTTCAGCTGGAAGAGTGCCAAGCAGAGCACCACTGCAGACTCTACAACTGAAGCCGAGTACTTGGCCGCTTCGGAAGCTGCCAAGGAAGCTGTTTGGATTCACAAGTTCATCAGTGAACTTGGTGTTATACCCTCAATCAAGGGACCGATAGACCTTTATTGTGATAATAATGGAGCTGTCGCTCAGGCCAGAGAGCCGAGAGAACACCAAAAGGTCAAACACGTGCAACGGCGATTTCACATGATAAGGGAATGGAAATCCGAAGGTGAAATCAGAATTTGTAATATCGGCACGGATGATAATGTGGCCGATCCTTTAACTAAACCTTTGCCTCAAGTGAAACACAACAAACACGTTGAGGCAATGGGAATCAAGCATGTTTAAGACTGGATTTGATATTCCC